GTTGTCTGCTGTTGTTGATTCTCTATCAGAAGGACTCCCTTTAGCATCTCTTATAAGATTGATCTGGTTTTAAAAAATTCCCTTAATTTCTGCTCATCTGGAAATCTCCTAATTTCACCCTCATATTTGAGGGACAATTTTGCTGCATATATAATTCTTGGTTGGAATTTTTTTTTCTTTTGGGGCTTTATATGTATTATCATCCCATTGCCTTCTCACCTACATGGTTTTTGCTGAGAAATCAGAGTTTAGTCTTATTGGTTGCCCTTTATAGGTAACTTTTTATTTTTCCCTTGCTGCTCTTAGGATTCTTTCTTTGTCTTTGGTTAAAAATGAGTTTGATTATGATATATCTTGATGACTTTCTTTTGGGGTCTGTCCTGTTTGGGGTAGGTTGAAATTCTTGAATTAATATATTCTTGTCTTTCATCATATTAGGGAAATTCTCTTCCAACAAATCTTTGGCAATTTTGTCTGTGGTTTTATTTGTCTGTTCCTGTTCTGGAATTCCAATTACATGTAGGTTATTACTCTTGATGGTATTCCACATGAATCTTAGCTTTCTTCATTTTGTTTTGATCTTTTTTTTTTTTTTTGATTGATCCTTTAGCAAAGTAGTATTGAAGTATTTGTCTTCAATCTCATTAATTCTTTCTTCCATTTATTTGGTTCTACTCCTTTGCCCATTGGATGTATCATCTATTTCTGAAATCTTAGTATTAATTTTTTGGATTTCTATTTCTTATTTCTGTATCATTTCTAGTTTTTTTATGTTGTCAATTTGTTTTTGTATTGTTTTCCTAAATAGTTGCAGAGTTTTTTCTTTGTTTTCCTTAATTTTGTCAGTGTTTTCCTTGATCTTTCTCTCAACCCATTGAAAGTACCTAAATATAATTTTTTTGAATTCCTTATCAGGGTGTTCCAATGCTACTTTTTCCTCAAGGGTGTTTTCTGGGTTTGTATCCTGATTCTTTGTTTCTTTTACTTCATCTTGCTTCCTTATGTGAACTGTGATGGTTTGTTGTCTCCAAGACAGTGGTATTCATGTTTAATTTGTGGTTGTATGTTGGTGTGAAATCCTCCAAGATTTTTTTTTCCACTTTATTTTGTTTTGATATATCTGTATGAACAGTGTACTGTGCTCGTTTGTTCTCTAGTTTGCAGTACTTAGGCACTCACCACCTGTCTCCTGGTAAGTGTGATAGAATTAGAATGTGTGTGCAGATCTCTGGTAGCTGGTTGTATGGAGCAGTTGAGGGTGAGTTGAGCTGGTAATGGCCGCTGTCTGTTGTTGGTCAGTTGGTTCAAAAGTAAGTGGTGGCCCTCACTCAGTGAATGGGGGCACAGAATGGGGCACAGGTATGGTTGTGTTGTGGAGGAATGGTTACTGTCTTCCCCTGAATTAGACAAAAATAAAAATAAAGAGTGCATGGGAAGGAAGGACATAAGGAAGAGGTAACTATGGGGAGGAAGTGGGAAGAGAACTGTTACATTCTGGGGAATTGCAGTCAATGTCATGAGACAAAATGTATATGAACTGCTGTATGGAAAATGAATTTGCTCTGCAAACTTTCACCCAAATCACAATAAAAATAGAAATAAAGAGAATATTAAACTCAAACAGCATAAACAAACTAGAACAATTGCAAAAAAAAAAAAATACAATAAACTAGAGGAAAATTTTTCAAAATGTATTAAAAAAGGATAAAAGAATGATAATGAGAAAAGAGAAGAATAAAGCCGCAATATCTGGGGAAGGAGGAATGAGAGAAAAGAGCACATTTTTTTTCTGAAAGAAAAAAATGGTAAAATTGCAGTAGGCAAAAATGAGATGGGAAGAACCAAACAAAAGAGGGGAAAAAAAAAAAAACCCAAAAACCAAGAACTGGGGATGGGAAATAGAAATAAAAAAAGGAAAAAGGAGAAAGATAAAAAAAAAATTTTAAAACAATCAATCAAAAACAAAATTATAGTAGGTGGGGCCCAGCACCCAGGCTCTGTCAGTGCACAGACTGGGATGGGATTCTTGCTGATCAAGAAGGTGGGCGGAGGCAGGATATGGCCACTCCTCTGTTTACCAGTAGTTTGTGGGGTCGAAGAGTAACAAGGGGAATATCACACCTTTCCAGTTGTCAGCCTCCAGTATGGCTGCCCATGCTGTCCTCAGGAAGCAGAGCATGCTCCTGTGTCACAGTCCAGGTAAGAACATCACTTCTGTATATTCAAAATGGTTGTTCCTGTCGCTCGTGAATATTCAAAATGGCTGCACCCTCAGGATAGCTGCTGGTAGTCCAGAGTTCTGTTTTTCTCCTTCTTCATTGTTTTCCTTTCTGGTTGTCAGGCACCAATGTGGTCCTTACGCATGTAGTCCTTAGTGAGCAGAGCTGATTCTTAGGTTACTACTGGGAAATATTAAAAATGGCTGTGCCTTCAATACAGCCAGCAGTCCACAGCTCCATTTTTCTCCTAACTACTGTTTCCATTTAATTTCTTCTATTAGTTGGCATTTAACCTATTTCTTTATCTTTTCCTTCAAAGGTCAGGTTCCAGGATCGTCTTCTGTATCAGTTTCCATTGGTTTCTCATTGCTTTGTTGCAGAGGGTCTGTGTAGCTTGTCTGCTTTTCTGCCGTCTTGCCTGAACTCCCTCCAAATCCTCACAATTTGACCAAAAAACAACATCGTGATAAATGGAAAGGAGATTGAGGATTTCAAGGATTTCTTTTTACTCAGATCCATAATCAACACCCATGGAAGTAGCAGTCAAAATCAGACAACATTTCACAGTAGGTGAATCTGCTGCAAAAGACCTCTTTAATGTGTTAAAGATCAAAGATATCACTTTGAAGATTATGATGCACCTGACTTAAGCCATCGTAATTTTAGTAGCCTTATAGCATAAGAAAGCTGGGCAGTGAGTAGAGAAGACCACAGAAGAATTAATGCCTTTGAATTGTGATGTTGGTGAAGAATATTGAATGGACTACTAGAAGAATAAACAAATCTGGTTTACAGAAAGTACTGCCATAATGCTCTTTAGAATGGAGAATGGCCATAAATTCGTGTCTCATACTTTTGTCATGTTATCGAAAGGGACCAGTCCCTGGAAAAGGATATTATGGTTGTGAAGTAGAGGGTCAGCCAAAAAGAGGAAGACCCTCAATAGCATGGGTTCACACAGGTTCTGCAACTATGGACTCAAACATAGCAAGGATTGTAAGAATAGTGCAGAACTGGGCAGTATTTCATTTTGTTATGTGTGGGGTACTGTGATTTGGAATCCACTAGAAAGCACCTAACAATAACAATAAAGATTAAAGCCCTGTTTCATGGTGGAAAGTTTGACCCAAATGGTAGACAAAGTTATGTTGCTTTTCCATTCAGCTTTGTATATTAAAGGATGTAGATAAGTAGAAAGCATCAATGCCCAAGGCATTTGAATGCTAACCAGAAGGTTGACAGTTCAAACCCACCAGTCACTCTGCAGAAGGAAGACTGGGCAATCTACTTCAGTAAAGATGTACTGCCTTGGAAACCCAAAGGGGGTCATTATGAGTTGGAATCAACTCAATAGCAGTGATTGTTTTTTGTATACATTGAGAGCTTACTTGCCTTTATTTAATGCTCATGAAATCTTGTGTTTCAGGTATAAAAATTTCAGGTTTTCTTTTAACACATACATTGAGATTCCCATACCATACAATTTCCCCATGTAAAGAATACAATTTTCCAGCTTTTAGTATATAAACAGAGTTGTGTAGCCATCACCATAATTACAAACATTTTCAGTACTCTCAAAAAACCACATACTCTTTAACTATCACTCTAAGTCTTTCCTTTCATCCCAAGCCAAGGCAGCCATGAATCTACTTTTAGTCAGAACCTAGTCTATAATACGGTGGCACTTGATAGAATCCAAATAGTCTTCCAGCTCCTTGGAGAGCGGGTCTTCACATATAGGGCTTTTACTGTATTTGTAATGTTTATTCCCACATCACTGCAGATTAGATGAGAGTCAAATGAGACTCATAAATAGATTCTGTAACCAAATTTAAATAATTTGTTGGTGTTATTCTGACTTGCTTTGCCTTTTCTTAAGTAGTTTCCTTTCCTTAGTGCATATTTAACTACTACTGTCTGGTATATTTAACATTATACTTGAAGTATAAGTAAGAGAAGAAATGAAAATTACGGTACCTCTCTAACATTATTTTAACTCAAAGTCACTGAGGTTTTAAAAGACTAAGGTATAAATAGAATCTCATTTATATTGATGGAATTAAAAAAGAAACTAAGTATGTCTATTCGTATATATTTCAACTTAAAGTCAAGTGAATTATCTGGATTTACTCTGATTTTTTTTTTTTTCCACAATAGCTTACTTATTTAATTGGCTTTGAGGGTAAAACACTCCCCTATATTTAAAAGATTTAGAAAAAACAATCGAATGGCAGTGAGATGCCTATGAACCCTACAAGAGGGACACCTTCATCCATTCTGATAGCCACTGCCAGGTCTAGGGAGTGAGGCTGTAGGATAGATAGAAAATGAGCTCAGGTTGCGTTTGGTCAGAGGCTGGCTCTGGATGAAGGCTTCCCAAGCACAGGACCATCTTCTGCAGCCAATGCCTTGCCAAAATCAGTCTGACTACCATGATGCATGCTGGCCTGAGGCCAAGAACCACTGCTCAGTCTGAATGAGGATACATCTGTGCTCCTTGATGGGGCTATGGTCAACATCTGAGGGATCCAAGATTTGCTCATCTAGTTCCTTGTCCACGTAAAGCACCAATGGAGCCACAAAATTTTCAGGCATCATCTACCATGGGTTCACATGTTGCTGATTAGAGAGTTATACCTGCCACATTGGGGTAATGGCCATTTATGGGCTTTTTTGGAAGATAGGATTCCTCTTAGGGGTTGGAGGAACGTACTACCAATTAGGTCATAAAGAAAAGACACCATTTAACTCATTTAACTTGATGAAAAATTTGCCTTATAGTTACGGAGTGCTGCTGTGGGAACTGCTCACGGGAGAAGCTCCCTATCGTGGCATTGATGGTCTTGCTGTGGCTTATGGAGTAGCAGTCAATAAACTCACTCTGCCCATTCCATCTATGTGCCCTGAGCCGTTTGCTAAGCTAATGAAAGGTATCCGTGCAGCCTCTATGTTTGTATGTTGGTGGGAGGAAGGGAAGTCACTCAAAAGTACATTTATGTTTTTAACCAAAATAGTAATTTCTATGATTCTAATTTTCAAATACTTCCGGTAGTTATACTCTTTAAGAATTAGGAACCTTGCCTTTGATCTAAGATGTGAGGTAAAGCTTTGATGAACTAAGTAACTTTAAAACAGTCTACTTTTATCAGTGACTCATTTATGTATAAAAACTCAACTGAATGTTAATAAAGTTTCACCAAGTGCATTAGTAGAGTTCAACACAATATTGAATTGGCTCCAGATTTGCTGCATTAAATATGATTTAATCATCATAAATGTTTTATAATCTTAAGTGTCTTGATTTTGCCATGACCTTGTCTATTTGATCCTATTTAAAATTGTCAACTATTTTATAAGCAAGTTACTCTACTTCATCATTAGGCTATTTCTTTGAACTTCTCTTGGGCCTATGACATTTCAGAGACTTTAGTTTTCTTGGATTGAGTTATATAACTCTGTATCAATAAATCATCTGCCCAGGGGCATTTAGGCCCCTCAAACCCAGAGTTCATGGGGGCATAGAAACACATGGTCATATATAAAGTGCAATATCATATTGACAACAGTAGCATCATCTAACAGTAATTATCTTATCTACTTTTGACATAGACACTGTGTCAAATAAATTATTAAAAGTCATTATCAGTTGGTTCTTAAAATCTTCAGCAGATGCTTGTAGCATGGGGCATTGGTTTAAAATGATAAATGTTAAATTGAAAAATATTTCAGTATAAAACATTTCTTAGAAACTCAGATGTCTTGGAGATCGTTTGACTTATGCTGAGAGATAGACTTAATGTGATTCTGGGTTTTTATAGAATGCTGGGAACAAGATCCTCATATTCGCCCATCATTTGCCTTAATTCTTGAACAATTGACTGCTATTGAAGGGGCCGTTATGACTGACATGCCTCAAGAATCTTTTCACTCCATGCAAGATGATTGGAAACTGGAAATTCAACAAATGTTTGATGAATTGAGAACAAAAGAAAAGGTAAGAGATGTGTATATATGTATTTTTCTAGTAATATTTTATTGTGTTTTCCACAGCAATTTAGGTTCTTATTTAATAATTTGTATGTTGATTGTTCAGTGACATTGGTTACAGCCTTCACAAAGCATGAATATTCTGTTTTATTCTGGTTGTTCTGTTTCCATTAATCTAATTTCTCTGGCCCCTTACATTCTCATCTTTGTTTTAAAGTAATTTTTGACCTTTTGGTCTCATATAGGTGATTTTTCAAAGGAGCACAGTAATTTCTGGTGATATTTATTATTTTTTGAGCCAGTTTGTTATTTAGCTACAAGGTAACCTCAGGGTTAGTTTCAGTTCAAAGTTAGAAAAGTTTCTCAGGGCAGTAATCTTGGAGATTCTTCCAGCCTTAAACAATTGAGTAAAGCTGGTTAGAATAGTTTGTAGTGGTAGCTGGTAGCATCTAGTTCTTCTGGTCTTAGGGTAGATGAGGCAGTGGTTAATATAGAGTTCCCTGTAGACTAGTTTCTTCTTTGACTCTTTGGTTTCTTCTTTTATTTTTGTTTCAGACAAGGAGAGACCAATAGTTTTATCTTAGATGACTACTTGTAAACTTTTAAGACCTCAGACACTGCTCACCGAACTAGGATGTAGAACATTAATTTAGGAACTATATTATGCTAAATGACCAAGATATCCCATAAGACTATGGTCCTAATCCTTCAAACTGTAGAAGTCCAATCCCACAAGGTATTTGGTTATGTCTAAGAAGTATCCGTAACTCTGCCCGCTATGTACTTTATTACATATATAAATACATATGTATATGCACATAGATGCATACACATATAAGGATATATATGAATATATATGCATATGCACACAGATGCATGTACATATGCATACACTGAGGTGGTTGTTGTTAGATGCCATTGAGTCAGCTCTGACTCACAGCAACCTTATGTACAACAGAATGAAACACTGACCAGTCCTTCACCAGCCTCACAATCCTTGCTATAACTGAGCCTGTGTCATTGCTCCAGTTGTGTCAGTCTATCTCATTGAGGGCATTCCTCTTTTTCACTGACCCTCTACTTTACCAAACATGATACCCTTCTCCAGGAAATGGTCCCTTCTGACAATAAGACGAAAGTAGGTGAAACAAAGTCTGGCCATTCCAAGGAGCATTCCAGCTGCACTTCTTCCAGGACAGATTTTTTAGTTCTTCTGGAAGTCCATGGTACTTTCAGTATTCATCTCCAATACCACAACTCAAAAGAAGAGGCTACTGAAAATACCATGGCTTGGGTTAGGTACACCTTAGTCTTCAGAGAGACATCTTTGCTCCTCAGCACTTTAAAGAGGCCTTTTGCAGCAGATTTACCCAAGGCAAAATGGTGCCTGAGTTCGTGACTACTATTTCCACTGGTGTTGATTGTGGAACCAAGCAATATGAAATCTTTGCAATTTCAATCTTTTCTCCATTTATTGTGATGCTGCTTATTGGCCCACTTGTGATGATTCTCATTTTCTTTATGTTGTTGTTATGTGCCATCGAGTCGCCCAGACTCATAGCGACCCTTCTTTGGGTTTCCAAGGCAGTATCACTACAGAAGTAGATTGCCCAACCTTCCTTCTGAGGAGTGGCTGGTGGGTTTGAACCGCAAGCCTTCTAGTTAACAGTCAAGTGCCTTAGGCACTATGCTACCAGAGCTCCTTTATATTGAGGTGTAATCCCTACTGCAGACTATAGACTTTAATATTCATCAGTAAGTGCTTCAAGTCATCTTCACTTTCGGCAAGCAAGGTTGTGTTGCCTGCATATCGCAGATTGTTAATGAGTCTTCCTCCAATCCTGTGCCAGGTTCTTCTTCATATAGTCCAGCTTCTTGGATTATTTGCTCAGCATAGAGATTGAATAAGTACAGTGAAAAGATAGAACCCTGACACACTCCCTCCCTGATTTGAAACCATTCAGTATCCCCTTGTTCTGTTCACACAACAGTTTCCTCGTCTATGTACAGGTTCCTCATGAGTACAATTAAGTGCTCTGAATTCCCATTCTTCCCAGTGTTATCAATAATTTGTTATGATCCACACAGGTAAGTGCTTTTGCATAGTCAATAAAACACAAGTAAGCATCTTTCTGGTATTCTTCACTTTCAGCCAAGACCCATCTGACATCAGGAATGATATCCCTTGTTCCACGTCCTTTTCTGAATCCAGCTTACATTTCTGGAAGTTTCCTGTCAATATGCTGCTGCAACCATTTTTGAATTATCTTCAACAAGATTTTACTTGCGTATGATAGTAATGATACTGTTTGATAGTTTGCAAATTCTATGGGATCACCTTTCTTTGGATGGGTACAATATATGGATCTCTTCTAGTTGGGTAGCTGCCTTCCATATTTCTTGGCATAGATGAGTAAGTGCCTCCAGTGCAGCATCCATTTGTTGAAGCATCTCAATGGGTATTCCGTCAATTCCCAGAGCCTTGTTTTTGCCGGTTCCTTCAGCACAGCTTCAACTTCTTCCTTCAGTACAATTGATTGTTGATCCTATGCCTCCTCCTGAAATGGATGAACATCAGGCAATTCTTTTTGGTACAGTGATTCTGTGTCACTTCAGTCTTCTTTTGACATTTTCTGTATCATTCAGTATTTTGACCATGGAAACTTTCAGTGTTGCAACTTGAGGCTTGAATTTTTTCTTCAGTTCTTTCAGCTTGAGAAGTGCTGAGTGTGTTCTTCCCTTTTGGTTTTCTAACTTCAAGTTTTTGTACATTTCATTTTAATTGACTTTGTCTTCTTGAGCTGCTCTTTGAAATCTTCTGTTCAGTTCCTTGATCTTGTCTTTTCTTCCATTTGTTTTAGCTACTCTTCATTCAAGAGCAGGTTTCAGAGTCTCTTCTGACATCTGTTTTGATCTTCTCTTTCTTTCCTGCCTTTTTAATGACCTTTTGCTTTCTTCGTGTATGATGTCCTTGATGTCACCCCACAGTTTGTGTGGTTTTCAGTCAGTGGTGTTCAGTGCATCAATTCTGTTCTTCAGGTGGTCTCTAAATTCAGGTGGGATATAATCAAGGTCATATCTTGGCTCTCATGGACTTGTTTTAGTTGTCTTCAGCTTCAAGTTGAACTTGCATATGAGCAGTTAGTCTGTTCCACAGTCAGCTTCTGACCTTGTTTTGGCTGAAGATACTGAGCTTCTCTGTTGCCTCTTCCCATAGATGTAGTCAATCTGATTCCTGTCTATTTCATCTGGTAAAGTCCACATGTATAGCTGCTGTTGATGTTGTTGAAAAAAGGTATTTGTAATGAATAAGTTGTCGGTCTTGCAAAATTCTCTTATGCAATCTCGGCTGTCGTTTCTATCACCAAGGCCATATTTTCCAACTACTAGTGATTCATCTTTGTTTCCAACTTTTTCATTCCAATCACCAGTAGTAATCAATACATCATGATTGCATATTTGGTTGATTTCAGACTGAAGAAGTTGATAAAAATTTTCAATTTCCTTGTCTTTGGCTTTGGTGGTTGGTATGTAAATTTGATTATTAGTAGTATTAACTAGTCTTATAGACATATGGATATTATCCTATCACTGACAGCACTGTGTTGCAGGATAGATCTTGAAACATATTTTGTTACAATGAATATGACACCAGTCCTCTTCAATTTCTTTCCCAACATAGTAGAGCATTTGGTTGTCTGATTCAGAATGGCTAAAACCAGTCCATTTCAGTTCACTAATGCCTAGGATATCAAACTTTATACATCCATTCATTTTTAGAACTTCCACTCTTCCTAGATTCAAACTTTGCACATTTCATGTTCTGATGATTAATGGATATTTGCAGCTGTTTCTTCCCATTTTGAGTCATGCCATATAAGTAAATGGAGGTCCTGAAAGCTTTACTCCATCTACTTCATTAAAGTTGACTCTGCTTTGAGTAAGTAGGCTCTTCTTCCCTAGTTGTATTTTGGGCGCCTTCCAACCTGAGGGACTCTTCTTGCAACACTATATCAGACAGTGTTTCAGGGCTATTCATAAATATACTGTGTTTCACTGCTATTCTTAGGGTTTTCACTGACCAATTCTTGGAGAAGTGGATAGCCTTTTCCTTTTTCTGAGTTTTAGTTAGGAAGCTCTGCTGAAACCTGTCTACCATGAGTGATCCTGCTGGTATTTGAAATACTGGTGGCATAGCCTCCAGCCTCACAGCAACATGTAAGCCACCACTGTATGACAACCTGACAGACGAGTGGTGGCATACATTGGTAGGGATATATTTTTAATTGTGTAAGTACTAACATTTATGAAGCTTATGAGAAATATGAGCCAAAGACCACTGATAGTATCATTCTAGAATATTTTTTTCAGACATCCATACTTCTTAATCCTTCTCTTCAGGTTAAAGAAATAAGCAAAACAGAAATGTACTGTAAATGTATAAGTGGTACAAAAAAAACCCCTTTTATTAGAGGAATTTTCAAATGCCAAAAAAAGGAGAGAGGATAGTATAATAAACCCCTTGTACACATTGTTGTTGTTGTTGTTGTTGTTGTTATGTGCCATCGAGTCGGATCCGACTCATAGCAACCCCTCCTTGGGTTTCCAAGGTGGTATCTCTACAAAAGTAGATTTCCCAATCTTCCTTCTGAGGAGTGACTGGTGGGTTTGAACTGCCAACCTTCTGGTTAGCAGTCAAATGCCTTAGGCACTATGCCACCAGGGCTCCCGGCTTGTATACATTAACCAACTTAAGTAATTGTCAGTTATTTTGTCAGTTTTAGTCATCTCTTTTCTCCATCATTTTTTTTAATTGGAGTATTTTAAATCAAATCCTAGATTCAGATCATTTTATCCATAAGTAGTATGTAATTTGAATTACAAAGGATTTTTTTTTAAAAAAAAGAACCTCTTTTCTATTATTTTCCTAAAAAATTAACAATAATTCCTTAATATCATATAATCCTATCATATAATATCCAGATTGTGTTTGTATATGAGTACTCA